GGGACATTAATGAGCAGTCCACATGGGACAGTAGTGGTGCCATTCCTGTTCACACTGTATATGTCAGACTCAAATACAGCACTGAGTCCTGCCACATCCAGAAATATTCAGATGACACTGCTATCATGGCATGAATCAAAAGTGGACAAGTGCCTGAATACAGAGATCTGACAAGAGCTTCATCAGTGCATTTACATGCACAGCTTAATCTGACTAAGCTGATAATTCGTTTTTTTCGCTGAGTCGGACTTCTCTCCTTGTCCGCGTATACTTGCAGCTGAGAAAATTGAATTATTGACATGAACCTGCCCTCCTTCCCAAAACTAGGGGGTGATATGGGTCTTTTCAGTTGCGCTGTTTATATACATGGTAGTGAGGTAAGACTGGTCTCATTTGAAAGAGGAGGATATCCTGATGTGTTTTGGTAAATGATAGCGACATGACAAGTGAGACTCCAGACAATTGAATTTCCCTTCGGGGATGAAATAAAGTTATTCTTTTTCTTATTCTTATTCAGGCAAAGGTGCCCCAGAATGACTTGATGAGTCATTTCTCCAAAGATATGAAATCCAAGAGACCCAGTGTAAGTGTCGGCAAGTATTATTATTCAGCAACTGCAAATGGTGAGTTACCTTGCCCATGAACTGCTTTAACCTCAAGGGGGCACCTGACATAGATGGATGAATAAGATTAGCATCAGACCCAGAGTCAATGAAAACAGGCACAGAAATAGTGGCAGCCTTGGAGCATAAGTTAGCTGTAAGCTTGGATTGGGCAGGGTTATTAATTAAAATGCTCTGACTCACTGTAAGCTTAGACCTGGCTGGATATTTGGCACCCTTGACATGACAGTTGGCGACGATGTATCCCAGCTGACCGCAGTAAAAACACCTGCCGTCCTTCTGGCAATTGAAGCATTCCTTGGTTTTTCCCAGGTGAATGGGTTCCTCTGGCACTGCTCCAGAGGGGATGAGATCAGCAGAGGCTGTTCAGATGTAGCTGGACAGGTCAGCAGGGTCGCTCTCCCAGGTCTGGTGCGGTGAATTCCGGGTGCGGAGACAGCCCCTTTCCAGGTCCCTTTCACATAGTCTCTAATCCACTTCAATTGCCAAAGCGATGATGGAGTCCAATTCCTGAGGGAGGTCCACGGACACGAGGCTGTCTTTGACATTGTCAGAAAGTCCTTGAAAAAAAGTAATCAATCAGAGCCGCCATGTTCCAATCGCTCTTAACTGTAAGTGTGTGGAAATCAACGGTGTAATCTAAGACTTAGCGCTTGCCTTGCCTTAACTCAAAAAGAGTCCTTACCGCCTCACGTCCTGGCACTATGTGCTGAAAAACTTGTTCCAGAGCTCTGACAAATCCTGAGAGAGACACACAGGCAGGAGACCTGGGGCTCCACTTGGCTGTGGCCCAGGCCTCTGCACGCCCTGTAACATGGGAGATGATAAAAGCTATCTTAGCATGCTAAGTAGGAAAGGCAGAGGCTTGCAATTCAAAATGTAGTTCACATTGGGTGAACAATGCTGTGGATGAGAGAGCTGGTTTTATGTGCTCCCCTCTTCCCCCACTTCCAAGTACAACCACACAAATGCAGTCCAACCAGACTTCACTTATTTAGTACTCAAAGATAAAGAAAGCAATAAAACTTCAGGGTGAGCACAGCCCAAAACAACAAACAAAACAATCTATGTCTCCAAAACTAACCTACCTATCCAAAAGTAAAGAAAAAAATCTCTCACCTGACTCCCGTAGCAGACGACTGGTTTCTGCTTTCTCAGCTTTAATTCACCCTCAAAGGAATGCAGTGACTCTGGTCACTGAAAGGAGGTGGGGGGTGAATTTTCACACCAAACAATGTTCTTTCTACAACCTCCTGTCTGTGGGAAACTAACCAAGAGGTGATCTCCCAAAACACAGACAGTCAATCTTTTGCATTTCAAAGAGACAAAGTTGCTAATTTCCAGCAGGACCCCCGGACTGGATAAACATTCACCCTTCTGCTCTTGGCTGGAGACTCTCAAATTTGACACCTCAACCTTAAAGGTACTGTAACTCCCTCTGATGTGCTCGAACAGACAGCAACTCATTCTTAAATGGTACTGATGATTTATTCCAATAAATGGGGTAAACCAACGTGAGAACTGAAGGTCAAAAGGATACAAAAATACAATAAACTGTTATTTATCAAATTCGTTTTTCTTATCTCTTAATGCTGTAATGCAAATTAACTTTATCATATACAAACTTTCATCAGATGTACAACAATACAGAGCAGTCAGCAAAACACACACACACACATACATACATTTAGCCTTAGCTGGTTACAGTACAATGTAAACAAACATAGAGATGGGCGCTCTGAAACCGACGCTCCGGCGCACGTTTCAAACCAGGAAATAAAATTGCCTCGAAACACTGTTCTGACGCTCTGTTTGGTTTGGATAAAACCACGTGACCTATGACATCCAAAGCAAGAACTGCTTCATTCTCTGAATGAACGCTAATAAACCCCTTGACTGTCTCAAAGCCACGCCCTCTGGTTCGATCCAAGGAATGATCATATGACTGGCCCTGTGCCAACCAAGTGCCAGTTTGCTGATCTCTCAATTCTGACAGGTTGAAACATTTTCAATTTTTGTGCCTTGACATTTTTTTAACCGTTTCAAACAATGAACAAAATGTGGGTTTGCAGTCGAGGTGTTTGCATAGTTGTTGAGTCGATTTATCATTACATTGTGTTTTTGTGTGTATTGATCACCATCATCGTGGACATGGAGCCAGCCAGGAAGAGGGGCTGTTCTGAAATGTGGCAATACTTTGATCTCATTGCCCATGATAAGGTGGGTATGTTATTATAGGAGGAGCCATTTGTTTGATTATGTGCGCTAACTGTGCTAATCCCCTATAAGAGGTTTCACACCACATGAACTATGCAGCCACTGAGGCAGTATAACACAAACTCTCTGACATTAAGCTTCACGTTCCAAACATTAACACCACGCTGTTTTAGATAGATTGGTTATTAGTCGGATGGATGTTCAGCAATCAGTAATCATTTTCAGGGCTGTCAAGTCTCACGCATTCGGCGTGTGGCACATGCATTCCCACCCATTCTCTTGCCACACATTGTATTTCTCACGGAATAATATTACCACAGTGACGTCCACCAAGTTGCAACCTTTTAACAATGGAACAGGTAGAAATCAAGTCAGTTCCCCTGACAGAAAAGAGGCTGCGTGCAAGCTAATCAAATAAAGTAAATCTACCGAAAAGCCAATCAAAAAGTAGCATTGCTGTATCCGGGTAGATTTTGAAGACGAACACTCGCTGAAATGAAGCAGGTTTCGTAAGCACGAAAAATATCCAAACATTACAGTAAGTCAGTAACCTACACCTGCAGAGGCCTCAACACCTCAGGGCAAATAGACTCAAATGATAAACTAAAGCCCCATGCTCTTGCTATTAACAGCTGCATTGATGGATTTAGCCTCTGTACAGCCATTTCAAGCTATTTTCCTAAGTCCATCTTTTTTTTCTGTGGAAAAGATGCATTTCTCATATATTCTAAGTTATGATACTCATGACAATGTTATGCTGATGATCCAAAGGATTACCCCCCCCCCCCCCACACACACACACACACACACACACACACAAAAAAAGAAAAAAGAAAGAAAAGACGAAAATCTCACTCCAAGCTCAGTTAAAAACTTGAGAGCCCTGGATTTTCAGCTGGCTTGCTGTGTATAAAAGCAACCAGGCTTTATCATTTAAAGCTGTTTGTTCTAAGAGAAGAAAGCATATTAGCTGTGGACCACAACTCATCATCATTATTGTTATTATTGTTGTTTTTGTTATCATTATTATTATTGTTATTATTATTATTATTATTACTATTAGGGGGAAAAGACATTCTGTATCATGTGTGCTCTGGAACTCACCTACAATTATTACTTGCACACATTATACTGTTAAAAACGGTATGTAGCCTAAGCAAAAAAGTTACATGAACAGCCACTTAATATGTACACTAGAGTACAGTCTATTAAGTCTCATGTTTAGGTATCATTAAAGTTATATATGTGATTAGTGTAGCCTATATGTGATTAACATGTTACATAGAGTGAATTTTGTTTTAGTTTTTATCTAATGTTTTTCTCTTCAGGTTTGGTGCTTGTTGTGTACTTCTGAGCTGAAGTATCATAACAATACTTCTTCCATGAAGAGGCATTTCACTGCCAAACATTCCGGGCAAGGAACTTCTGCAGCTGCTTCAGCTACTTCTGGTGTTACCCAGGACAACGCAGGAGCAGGAGCAGGAGCAGGAGCAGGAGCAGGAAGAGGTAGGCTATATTATTGTTGAAACAGTAACACACTACAATAACATATTATAATATTTATGACTATATTCTATGACATAATGCTTCATCTTCCCAAAATTTCAAATAAATCCTTATTTTATGTACTGTAATTTATTTATTTGTTTCTGTCTAGTTGGCCGGCAGCAACAGTTGGTTGATAATCTGGTGGAGATGGTAGTGAAAGACTCTCAGCCGTTTTCTATTGTGGAGGACCGTGGTTTCAAGGACTCTGTGGCACTTCTTGATCCCACACACATTCTGCCATCAAGGAGAGACTTGAAGAAGATGGCGGTGCACTGTTATAAGGAGGAGAAGGAAAAGGCCAAGGCCGTCATGGAGAGCGTGGAGGCTGTTAGCCTGACAAGTGACATGTGGACCTCCATGAACATGTATGCTTATCTGGCAGTGACGGCCCATTATGTGGATGCCTCTGACAAGCTGGCCACAGTGGTTTTGAGGGTGCTGCCGTTCCCTGAAGCACACACTGCTGATAATATAGCCACCTCAACGAGGTGTCTCATGATTGAGTGGGGCATTGAAAAGAAAGTGTCAAGCTTTGTGACAGACGCAGGAGCAAATATGATTGCCAGTGTCAGAAAGTTGGGCCTGAGGTATGTTCCTTGCTATGCTCATGCACTTAATTTAGTGGTGAAGAAGTCCATTGAGAACACTCCTGGACTGGAAGACCTTCGCACAAGGTCTCGTAAAGTGGTGACCTACTGTAAAACCAGCACTATGTAACGGGTATTGACTGGACCCAATTGCAGCACAAACAAGCAGGTTCACTTTAACAACAGTCTTTATTTAACACCAAATCCAATGAAGCAGCAGAGTATAGCAGGATTCGAACTCAGGTCTTCCGGGTGATAGGCGAGCAGATTAGCGGTGGACCACAGGTCAGGCAAGAGTTTTGGACTCGTGAGCAGGCAATTGTCCACAGTCTTAATTTGCTCTACGAGTGTAGTGAAGGGGAAAACGCTCAACTCACAGCTGGAGGAAGATTTCTTGGAGAGTGGTTCAGCTGAGGACTGGGTGAGGATCCAGAGCTTGCAGAGGAGCTGGCAGAACCAACGTCGGCAGAGGAGGTGAGTTGGCGAGGTGAAGCTGACGAGAAGGGGGATCTCAACAGAGCAGGAACAGGCTGAATGCCATTTAGCCGCAGGCAGACGAATAGCAGGAAACAGGCAGGCAAAGCTCGTAGTCAAGGACAGAAGGCAGGTAGGTTTACCAGGGCTGAAGCGAGAAGCAAAGGTCAGGGGCAGATCAGGTCGATACCAGGTAAGCAGTCCGAGGATAAACGCTGGAGAGTCAGGCATGAGAGCGAAGACAATCTGGCAAAGAGTGAGGGGAAAGAAGCTGCATATATACTGGCCTGATTGGAGATGATGAGCAGGTGAGAGCAGCAGGTGGAAGCAGTTAGCTGATGAGGGGTGTGGCTTAGCAGCAGAGCAGGAGAGGGGCAGAGCAGACTGTTACACACTAGAGCCAAAGAGATGTTGCAACAGGTGCAGAAATCCGCAGGGCGCGAACCCATGAAGCTCATTCAGGAGGTGGACACTTGCTGGAATAGCACCTACGACATGTTCCAGCGTTTGTACGAGGAGAGGCAGACTGTGGGGTCAGCTCTTGCCGTGCTCACCACAGATGTACTACCACTGGCCTCTAAAGATTATGAGACCATGGCTGCCTGCATAGCAATGCTTAACCCATTTAAGAAGGAAACAAATGAACTGTCCGAGGAAAAGAGAGTTTCAGGGTCAGTGGTGATCCCAATGACCAAAATGCTAGTTCATTCTATGATTGATCTAACAGGAAAAACAAGCCACTGCAAAAGTACTGGGGCAGAACTTGCTACCTGGCCACACTCCTGGATCCCAGATTTAAAATGATTGAGTTCCACAATCAAGGTCGTGCCCATGCAGCAATGAGACGACTGGTAGTGTGCAGAATTATTATGCAACTAAATTAAAAATGAAAAATTTTCCATCTCACTTGTTTATTTTCACTTGTTCAAGTGAGAATGATAAACAAACTACTCATTTTACAAATAAAAATTTTTGAAATTTACAAAAAAAAAATCAGTGACCAATGTAACTACCCTTCTTTTCAATAACAGTCATAAGCTTTCCATTCATGGAGTCTTTCAGTTTCTTGATCTGTTGACGATCAACTTTTTGTGTTGCAGCAACCAAAGCCTCCCAGACACTGTTCCAGACACTGTTCAGAGAGGTGTACTGTCTTCCTTCACTGTAAATTTCCCGTTTAAGAAGGGCCCACAAGTTCTCAATAGGGTTTAGGTCAGGTGAAGAAGGAGGCCATGTCATTATTCTTTCGTTTTTAAGGCCTTTACTGGTGAGCCACATAGTGGAGTACTTTGTTGCATGCAATGGAGCATTGTCCTGCATAAAAATCATGGTTTTCTTGAAAGATGCAGACTTTTGTCTGTACCACTGCTTGAAGAAAGTGTCTTCTAAAAACTGGCACTAGGTTTGGGAGTTGATTTTAAGTCCATCTTCAACTCGAAAAGGTCCAGCTAGCTCATCTTTAATAATACCAGCCCATACCAGTACCCCGCCTCCACCTTGCTGGTGTCTGATTCGAAGTGGAGCTCTGTGCCCATTACTGATCCAGCCACGGGGCCATCCATCTGGTCCGTCAAGAGTCACTCTCATCCCATCAGTCCATAAAACCTTTGAAAAATCTCTCTTCAGATATTTCTTGGCCCAGTCTTGACGTTTCAACTTGTGTCTTGTTCAGTGGTGGTCGGGTTTCAGCCTTCCTTACTTTGGCCATGTCTCTGAGCACTGATCATCTTGTACTTCTGGGCACTCCAGGTAGGTTGCAGTTCTGGAATATGACAGCACCGGAGGATAAGCGGTTCCTGGTAGCTTTACGTTTGAGTCTTCTCAAATCTTTGGCAGTTAATTTGCGTCTTTTTTTCTTAACACATTTCTTGTGACCCTGTTGACTATTTGCATCAAAATGTTTGCTGGTTCTGTGATCACACCCAAATATCTAAGCAATTTCAAGAGTGCTGCATCCCTCTGAAAGACTTTTTACAATTTTTGACTTTTCAGAGTCATTTAAATCTCTTTTTTGGCCCATTTTACCTGAGGAAAAGAAGCTGCCTAATAATTATGCACACCTTGATATAGGGTTTTGATCTCCTTAGGCCCCAGCTTCCCTCATTACACTAATACACATTACCTGATATGCTTATATCCAATAAACATTCAAGTTTATACAGCTTGGAGTTGGAAAATATGCATAAAAATGCATAAAAATGATGATCAAAATACTCACTTGCCTAATAATTGTGCACACAGTGTATGTCACAGATGGACCGGGAGGCAGGGTTGCAGGTAAAAGAAAAGTGTTTATTGAGATCCAGACTGATTACTGTGATGTTTGTCTTTTTGAAGGGAGCCTTTGGGAGCTGCTGGTCAGAGATGCCAATGAAGCCAGGAGGTCGAGGAGCACAACAGCTGATGCGAATGTAGAGGTCCAGCGCTGCATGACTGATCCACCGCTGGAAAGAACCAAAGACCCACTGGTTTACTGGACAGAGCAAAAAAAATGTTTACCCACATCTGTATGTGCTTGCCAAAAAAAAAAAAAAATTTATGCACACAGGCGACATCTGTGCCATGTGAGCGCAGATTCTCAAAATGTGCGTAACATTGTTTCACACTTTTGTTCATTTAAGACTTCAGGACAAAATAATGAAATGACATTCACGATGTTTCTTCGCATAACATTAAACAAGGTATGAGCCATTTGCTTGATTTTTTTATTTACTTATGAGCTGCCATAATAACACAGTACACAAAAATATCTTTATTAGTATAGAGAACTAGATATCCAGTCATTGTTTCATGTATGTGTGGTTACATACTGTTGTTTTACTGTCTAAAAGCCTCCATAGTATTTGACTGCAGTTCTAGCTTTTTTGCCACCAGATGTCATTATCAATGAAGCTTTGAAGCTTCAAACCATTTTGAACCGATTGCTTCAAGTGGTTCATAAAAGCTTCATTTGCCCATCACTAAAAAAACACTAAATAACTTAAGACAAAAGGAACACAAAAAACATCATACTGCACTTTATTGGCTGCACACATGCCCTGAGAGGGAATCATGAGCACTTTCGCTGACTTGCAATTACTTAAACATGTTTCCAACAACACACCAAGGCTGTGTCCGCAATGGCATACTGCCTACTGTCTACTTACCTACTCAATCAGTACATACTGCATACTGAATACTCAAAGATGATTTGAGTATGCCGCAGCTGCCCAAGCGTTTACATACAGATGCATAATATAGCCCAGAATGAATTTGGTGCCAGCCGGACACAGCGCTGGGACAATTTAATAGTCCTACCACAAGCTACACAAAACGACTGCATTCCAGACAAATTATGTAAATTCATTCAGTAATAAAAAATTTTCTAGCGAGAAAGTAAGTGTTTACATAACGATTATCAGCCCAGTTGTTTGAAATAGCGGCTGTTTGTAAATTTGTCTCGCTGTTTCCGGAGACTGAAGCGTCCGCTTGGTGGGTGTTTGCGTTTACATGTCTCCAAATTATTGCGAAGTGTTTTCATAATCAACAACTACGCGACACAAACCGAGCAGCAGTGGATCAAAAAAATAACACAAACACCTGTGTATCCATGGTGATAATGCTATACACCTCCTGCTGGGTGTGTGATGAGCAACATAGGGCTGCAAAATGACCAACACACAACATAATTATTATGACCTTGTTCGGTTATTTCTTGGCAAATACATCTTTTCCCAACTACATTCTTTTCATGTACAATGATAATTTCAGAAACCATTAGGTAGTTCTGCCTGGTGTAGGCTGAAAACAGTGTGAACGCACTGCCTACTCAATTCGGGGATGGGGTAAGTATGAGTAGTACGAGAAGTATGCCATTTCGGACACAGCCCAACACTCTGCAGTAGTGCTTCAGCAGCAGCGCTTTTTTAAAATGAGTGTAACATCAAATATGTCCGGGCGGAAAACTGCGCTACACCGAACATAGTTCCACATCATTAACGTACATGCAGGTAAGTAGGAACCAAAAAACAAAATAGGTTGGAACTTATATTAAACAACATCAACTGACACAGAAGCAGTTATAGGTACCTTAGACGATCATGAGAACTCAACTCAAGAGTGCATCAAAAGCATTCATCTGTGAAACAGACCACAGCCATAAATCTTCAGAGTGGCTGTGTTTCCTGTAACTCTCTTTAGGTGCAGAATAAAGAAAATAACTTTAAATGATTCAATTTCAGGTTTAATGGACACTTCACCAGGATTTTCCATCTGTACACCACATCAGCAGTGAAACAGCCTTTGTCCCATTTGTTTAGCATGTTTATAAGCCAAACTGCTAACTTCACAAATTTATTCCAGGTTTTCTATGGACCAAGAGCTCCCCTTGGTGGTGTTTTCTGAATATGATTTTGGTCAGAATCCAAATGTGTATTCCTTAAATTTAATTATGTTGCACGTTATATACTTTGTAGCTTAGTGAATGGTTTTCCCAAATTAGGTTAGCAATATTAGAAATAGTAACTGAAAACTCTTTTAAACATGAGTTAAGAATGTTTTGATCGTTTTAATGCTATGTTTGTCTACCTCATCAGAATATATACTTTAATCATTTACTAAGTAACACCGACGCTGTCTACAAAAAGGGGATGAGCAGACTCTACTTCCTGAGGAAGCTGAGATCCTTCAACGTGTGCAGCAAGATGTTGGAGATGTTCTACCAGTCTGTGGTGGCCAGCGTACTCTTCTTTGCCGTGGTTTGTTGGGGGAGCAGCATCCGAGCCAGTGACACCAACAGACTCAACAAACTGATCAGGAAGGCTGGCTCCGTGATTGGCTGCAAACAGGACACTGTGGAGGCTGTGGTGGAGAGGAGGAAACTGAACAAACTGTTATCCATCATGGATAACCCTGACCACCCTCTCCACCCCACTCTGGACAGACAGCGGAGCTCCTTCTCCAACAGACTGTTGCAGCTCCGCTGTCGAAGGGACAGGTACAGGAAATCATTCCTGCCACAAGCTATTGCACTATTTAATAACTCTCATCTGTCAGACAGGGACTCACATCTGTCTGCTGTATAGTCCATTTTTAAAACTCCTACCACATCACATTACTGAGCAACTTAAATTGTCTGTATATCTATCACCCTATCTGGAATATTTAGCATTTTATATTTATTACTCATTTCAATAGCCCATGTTCTTCGTATCTCACTTTTATCTCTTAGGATATTTAGTATATTTAGTCTGTATTTATTGTATATACTTAGTATTTTTAGTCTGCTAAGCAGCTGCGAGAGCCCTCTTGTTAGGGCCCGAGCCAGCTGCAGAGCAGCCGGGCGTAGAGCCCTATTATTCCTGTATAGGTTTTTCTTTCTTTAGGGCCCGAGCCAGCTGCAGAGCAGCCGGGCGTAGGCCCTATTATTCCCCAAGTGGTTTTTCTTTGTTTCTTTCTTTCTTTAGGGCCCGAGCGTAGCTGCTAAGCAGCTGCGAGAGCCCTATTATTCCCCAAGGGGTTTTTCTTTGTTTCTTTAGGGCCCGAGCGTAGCTGCT